AATAATTTTAAACCAGTTTTGTATTACACTGTAACTAAAACCCATGCACACATATTCTATTAAAAGCTCATTTTTGTGTTCTTACTTCCCCTGCCCATGCTCAGTTGTTACAGTCAAGGTGTTCCTCGATCCTCAGAGACGAACCTGTACTCCTGCTGTTGTGACTATACTTTTCTTTGTCAGATGGTGCCCATCTGAAACAGGGTCTTTCAAGCACTCTTCTCATGATGCTGAGAAGGAATATTTACGAAGGAGCAATAGTCTCAGTTCACAGAACCTGAAGTATTAGTGTCATAAGATGCTGTGCAGGCTCAGCTCTCTGGGGCCCCCAAAAATCTGGCCCAGTGTCATGATAAAAGATCCATTTTCCTGGGAGAAATGAAATGTGTCAGACACAGCTTCTCTTCCTATTTACTACACCCGTGGTGTTATTAGGATAGCAACTGAGGTTTCATGACAAGGTCAGGGCCCCATTCAGGCCATGTCTCTTGATGGAGTTCAAAGGCTGTGACATGGAGTCTCCTTTCAGTCTGGAGATGTTCTTGCTGGGTTACATGTGGCTGTGCAAAGTGTCATCTGCATATTATGGATAATGCTTTGGAAAGAAAAACTTTTTGGATCATCAACTACTAGAAGCCCACTGGGGACATATACTAAATTTTCCACTTTCACTTGCATGCGGGCTTTGTGCTGTATATTGCTGCACAAAGTTTTAAAACCTTGAGGTCAGATGTGAAAGGACAAGTCATTTGAACTTGGGAAGCTTTCCTCCAAAAGAAGGAGAAATCATTGGAAGGTACCAGATACATTCTCCAAAGAGCAGAAAGTTGAGTGGAAGGAGAGTAAGGTAGAAAAAGGTGAAATTGTTGATTCTCTGAAGACCCTGATTTGGTATGTCACCAAAACAAAACTGTTAAGTAAATTGGTACAGGAAGTGGAGAAATGAGATCTATTCAAAAGGATGCTTTGGGGGTTTTTTGCTGAGTTTTTTTTACAAGGTCTTATTATAGGCTTCCATGGGACCATCATAAGAGGTAGCAATAAAAATAAAAAGCATAGTAGGCTTGGAATTGGGGTTGTGCGCCATTCATGAGAAGGTGGCTGTTTCAAAGTCCTGTCTAAATTTACCACTAAAGCAAGAAAAGTTATTCTGACCTTTGGTGTGTATATTCAACAAGGCAAAGTTCACCAGTGTATCTGCAATCTGGGAGAAGAAAACTGCAGACACTGACAGGCCACGGTCATTACACAGTTGTGGTCATTACACAGGGTGCAAATGTGAGAGTGTAGTGGGCACCGGCGTCCCGGTGCATAAGGGGATGCTACTCAACTGGGGCCTGTGGGCCCGTCTTTTCTGAGGTGGAGGAGGTTTTGATAAGACTTGGACTCGAACCTCCTCTAAGTTCAAATGGCTTTAACAGTGAGGTGGGTAGGGTTTGCGAGAGTGTGAGGTAATGCAGTGTGCTCAGGTCTCAGAAGCTAAGCCTCAGCAATGATCTATGTCTATGCGGCTGGAGACCTAAGAGAAAGGTGAAATCTTTAGATGAGTAGAGAAGGCAGAAAGCTACACATGAGCTAGATGAGCTGGATGCCAGAACCATGGATTAACTTTCTCTCTGTTTTTTTTTTTTTTTTTTTGTTTTTGTTTTTTCCTATTGAAAGTTTTAGTATTCTCACTGGACTTTTTTTCAAAAAAAAATAATAAAATTAATTTCCATCGTCTTGTGATTTTAAGTGCAAATTATTCCAGCTTACATGTAATACATGAGGGATTTTCTTTTATGAAAAATGAAGGTACTTTGTAATGTTTTAGCTTATCCTGAACACAATATTACTAATTATCCCCCAACTTTTTGTATTTTTCTCAGACTTAAGATGCCTATTTTTTACTTGAATTTTGTATTATAGTATTTTTGTTTTTTCTTTTAAAATGATGTTTAAATAAAAAGATCCTAAAGAAACATGTACTGATTTGTCCTCAGTGATCTGACTAGAAGAGAGTGTGGCGGTTGTCTCTCACATCCCTGCATTTCATGACCAATCTTATTTGGACATGCATTGTTTTAATATTCAGAAGAAATTAACAGGTATCCTTTGATAATTTTGTAAGTGACCATTCTTCAAGTATCTTTTTCAATATTATTAAGCTGTCTGCTTCCTATAGGGCACACACATCTGCATTGTAAACAAATCTGTAAGAAATTGAATTTTGTGGTTTTGTGGTTTATTTTTACTTTGTATAAGTACTATTGTGCCTATAGTTCCTGAGATCCTGTATCAGAATCATCTAAGATATGGCCTAGCTTGCTTCACTGCCTGTATTCAAATCCCAAGGAGCTAAGCTATATAAATTTCTATTTTCCATCCCTTTTGCATTTGTATTTCTTATATGGTTTACAAAGATATGAACAGTTCTTTTGATAGATGGATAGATTCAGGTATCTAAAATATTGGGGATTGCTTTTGCTATCTTTACTTTATTGAGTCTTAAAAGTCAGTTTCAAATGGGGTGAAAAGGAGAGTAACCACTTAGCTATAGTGCTTTACTCTCCACATGGTGATGTTTATAAGATCTCATGGTATGCTTTAGCTGGTCTCTGATGTACTGAATGCATCTTAGGTGAGGATGTTTTGTTCCACTGTTGGTTGTAGTTGGTAGGTTCAACAGTTATGCTAAAATCTTAGTGTTAGAAACTTGTCAACAGAGCCAATAAAAGTGGTCCTTTGCCTACTAACAAGGAAATTTGCTGGCTATTACGTAAAGGGATTCCTACTCATTCAAAATCATGTGGAATTTTATACCTGAAATTTCCGTATAAATTTCATTTTAAATTTTAAATTAAAAATTAAAGGCCAAAAAAAAATATTCTTCAATATATTAGAATGATTGTATATTAGAGACAAAAAGCTTATAAATTATTTAGTCAATTTCCTTATTTTATATTTTTAAGTAAAATTTGAGTTCTAAGTAAATGGGGGAACTTCCACAAAACATTCAGTGAATTTATTAAAATATTCAGAGATTAAAGATGTTTTCCTGATACAAATTTTTCCAAAAAAAGTAATTTCCTGCATACTGCATTTGGAATCTTTTGAAGATACATTTTCATTTTCAAGATTATAATGATATTGTTTTCCCTTAGAAATATTGTTTTAGCTTTTTTACTTAGGTCTGTGATTTTCTCAGTTTAAGATTTATGTGGCACTAGAAAGACTTAATACTGTTTTTCTTCTAATTAATAGGTTGCTACTTACTTACAATATCTTTCTTTCCCACTGAACTGCTGTGGAGCCTGTCTAGAACTGGTGACTGCCCATGCTTGAGACTAAAGGTTCTATCACTCTGGTCTATTTTTCTCTTCTTATCCTCTCATCATACTGCATTGATATCACAGTTATATGGTTTCCAGCTTTATTTTTTTTTTTTTATCAGCATTGGCTTGGCTATTCTTGTCTATTCTAATTTTCAAGAAATTTTAAAATCAGCTTGCCAATTTCTACTAAATAAATCTTCTAGGATTTTGATTAGGATTGCATTAAGTTGTTGGATTCAGGGACTCACATTTTTTCCTTCTTTCTTAATTACTTGCTTTGCATCATAATTAGCTGTCTATCATAAATGATATGTTGCACATCTAATGGTGGGTTATTATGCATTAGCCTGTCCATCTGCTTGGATGTGATTTAAAGAATCATTTTTAGCTTCACTGAAATATTCTTGACAAAAATGAATATATTTAAATTGTACAAGGTAATATTTTGATATCAGTATATAATGAAAATGATTGTTAAAATAAAGCTAAATTATCATATCCATCTCTTTATATAGTTACAGTTTCTGAGTGTGTGTGATTGTGTATTTGGTGAAAACATTAAGATCAATTCTTTTAGCAAATTTTGAGTATAAAATGAAATCTTATTAACTGTAGTTATTATGCTGCACATTAGATCTCCAAAACTTGTTTATTTTGCATATCTGAAGCTTTATACTCTCTTAATGGTACCGATTAATCTGATCTATGGATATGATATTTCCTTCCACTTATTTAAATAATATTTATTTCTTGTAGCTATGTTAAGTGTGGCTCAATGTAGTTGCACGAACATTTTCATTGTATTTATTTAATATTTGATGCAATTGTAAATCATATTTAAAATTTATTTTCTATAGTTGCTATATAGAAATAAATTGGTTTTTCAAATATTGACTTTTAGTTCAATATCATGAATCTACTTGCTGTATTTATTAAATCATTTGTAGATTCTTTTTCTTGTCTACATATACACATGCCATTTATAAACATTGACTGGTTTGCTTCTCTTTTTTTCACTTATGAGCTCTTATACTTCCTTTTTTTCTGCTGCTGGTTAGGATGTCAGTACAATATTAAATCTAAATGATGATGATAGACACCCTTTTCTTGTTTGGGACTGTGGCTCAATATTTTACTATTGAGTATAGTGAAAGCTTAGGGCTGTCTTTGTAAATATCTTCTCTCAGATAACAGAAATATTCATTTTCTCTTAGTTTGCTGATTTGAAAACAAAATCTCAAATAAATGTTGACTTTTATCAAGTGTTTTGATAGATTTCGATTAATTAAAATTAAGACGGTCCACTGATCAAATACATCATTAAAGTGTACAAAGACGAGTCATTGGCAGACACCATGTATTTACAATACATCTACCAGAGAAAAGGCAAAAGATATAACACCATAAAATGGGAAGAACAAGTTGAAAAAACTTTCAGTGACCCAAACTGACAGATATATATATATGTTTGTTTATTTGTCTTGTTTTTGTTTTTTGTGACAGTGTCTTACTGTATAGTTCCTTAACTCACTATGTAGCTATGTAGCCCAGGATGGCCTTGAATTTATGGCAATTCTCCTGCCCCAGCCTCCTGAGTGCCGGAGTTACAGGCATGTGCCACTACAACTGGCTTAAATTTGGTATAATTTGAACAACAAAATTTGTATTCTTAGATTATGCCGCAAATCAGATTAAACATTCATAAGTCTATTCCAATATAAATAAAAGCTAAATTAAAAATAGATAATATGGGACAGATATCCTTTGAAGAAGAATTGCAAATGATTTTTGTAGATACTTCTTCTCCAGGAAATCGTACTCTATTCTTCTGTCTATGAGTCTGTCATCACAGAATAGAGGGAGCTGAAGGGACCCAGCCTTGGCAACGTAGAAAAGCAATAGAGGAGCCCATTCACACCACCTTCAGCAAGTGATCAAGGCTTATCCCCTGTGCAAAGTCAAGCTGACTCCATGTCCCTTCTGGCTGGTTCAGGCTCTTTCTTCTGGTCCTCTGTTGAGAGCCACCTCCAGAGATAAGGATGGAATCATAACAAACAGGTAGTTCAAGAGGCACAGTTAGGATTTTGAGCTCTGTTCATAAGTCACCAGGAAGGTATGTATTTAGAATAATCCAAACTGAGATGTTTGCAGGAGCATGAGACTTGGAGATAGGTGAGGAAGCCTGGTGTTCCAGGCAGGGGCCATGGCTGGAGTGACACTGGGGAAGATCACACACTTAGGGAGCCCTCTTGTGCTTTATTAAGCATCAAATAAAAGGTGCTCATGCAGGCTAGATACAAATGTGTGCTGAAGAAAAAATATTCAAATATGGTTTCCCAAATTACTATGTTTTAAGTGCCAATTACACATCAATGGAAGCAATATTGCTGTGAGGCCATGTTTTCCATATTGCTGTAATATCCATTACTGCCTAAGTAAGCAATGCTACTGTAGAAAGTCATTTTCTCTGTACACATTCCATAATGAAGTGACTCTTAGATGGGATTGCCTAGTTGATTTATGACTACACCTAGGTGACAGGAATTCTCCCACTGGAGGGCTTTTACAATTTATCAAGTTTTGTTGACCTAGGGAAGGGTAATTACTTTTCTGGAATTGATGTGATATGGAAAACAAGACAAGCACCAGGAATATGAGCAATGACCAATTTTTTTCCTCTGAATTAAACTGTAACATATTTACTGTATGTAGAAGAGACATTCAATAATTTAAGTAGATAGTTTGTGTAACATCTTCATCTTCAAATCCCCAAACACATAGATATACAGATATAAATATAGAGATAGAGATAAATGTAGATACGGATATAGATGATACAAATGTGGGTAGATATAGATATATTCCCCATGTATGTACTGGCCAGGAGCTGGGGCACATGTTAGTCAAAGAATGTGCTTTTGTAAGTAGCCTCACACAAAGTTGTCTCCTAGAACTTATAAATCAGTGCCTGCCTCACTGGCTTAAAAAACACAAAAATAATGAAGATCACAAATGTTAACCTTTTAAACACTGATGTTGTTTAAAAATTTTTGTAGTAGAAAAACAGCTTTTCTACTCATCAGTCATAAATTTTTATAGTTTTCTGTGGTAGTAAGATGTGAAAATGCTTAGCCTTTAAAAGAGATGGGAACCCAAGGTTGCTGCTTTCACGTACTGTACTCAAAATGCAACCATGTGGGAGATAGGGCTGATGTAGTTTAGAAAATAATTCACGGGAGGGCTGGGAATTTAGTTCAGTGGCATAAGTGCCTGCTTGGCAAGCGCAAGGTTGTGAGTTCAATCCCCAGTACCACAAAACAAACAAACAAACAACAACAAAAATAAAACCACAGGAACTGGTGATAAGAAGGCAAACTTAGATTCACCATAAAATATGAATGTCCTTAGTAATTATAGCTGTCCAATAATACAATAGTTTTGTCTTGTGTTTGTTTTTTGAAAAGTAGTGAGTAACCACATTTGAGTAGAGGCTCAGTTTGTTGTCAGAGAAGAGCAGGAGTGATTCCTACAGGAAGGGAAGGTTGGAGTAGGTTACCCAGGAAATCACTTAAGACTAGACTTTTCGGATGGGTGACACATAATACCAGTAAGTCACAGTTCTAGCTAATATTTACATTTTTGATACCTAATAAAATTTATTAAATGAATGAATGCCTTTATATAACTCATATGATGCATTTCTTAGAGAAAACAAAACAAAATGAACATTTCTAAATATCCTGAACCACATATTAGAATTGTCCACTTCCAAATGTCCCTCTTTATCCCATCAACAGAAAAATCATATATATTTTTAAGAATTTGGGTGAGGTGTAAGACAGTTAAGCCAAATTAAAATAAATAGTTGCTCCTTGATCTCTTTGGAGTCTCTCTGATTCCTTTGTCCTCACCTCTGATGTCCCTCGTTGATGCCTTTCTGTTTTAGTACTAATTTTTGTCTCTGTCCTACTTCTTAGCTCAGTAATTAGCTCAGAAATTGTCATGTGATCCAGGCTAAGTCCTCCATCAGACCTTCCCTAAAATATTTCTAATGGGGCTAGACTCTGAATTTCTCTTTTCCTCATAGTTTCCTAAGCTGAGGCATACTAGCTTAGGCCATCTTCTCTTTTTTTTAGAAGAGTCTTTCTGCATGTTGAAACAGAAATGAGACCAGCTGAGATATAATAACTAGTGAGTCTCAGTCCTCGGATTCCAAATGTAAGACCTAGAGCTATCTTGGTTCACATATCTCTTTTGTATTGTTCAATATTTTCATCATTGGGACAAAATATACAACACCCACAAATTAAAGAAATACATGTTTGCTGTTGCTCATAGTTTCAGGGATTCAGTCAATGGTCAGCTAGATTCATAACGGTGGAAAGGCATGGGAGAGCAAAGCTGTTCTCTTCATGGCATCTGCGAAGTAGAAGAGGATTACAGATCAGAGAGGAAGTGGCCAGGGACCAGATATAGTACCCAAGTTCACATCTCTATTGTATACCCAGGCACACCCAGAAATGTGTGTGTTTGCTAATCCTGAAGGCTCTCAAGCCAATCAAACTGTCATTCAGTTTAACCATCATATCTTCCTCAAGATATATCATTATCACACCTCTCATTTTGCCCTTCAAACTAGCCCAAGGTGGACTTCAGAAATATTTTTCCTTGATAGTACAGAAACTGAAAGTAGAAAGTAAAACTAATACTCATTGAATACTAAATGAGGTAATCTTAAGGACCTCTTGGAACAGTGCACATATTCAAGAATTTTATGTTTTTCAGTAAAAGTGACCAGTATGAATGCTATGGATGACCCACGTAACGAAGACTAGTGACCATAAATATCTTTGAAAACAAATACATGCTATGATAAAGAATAAATTTAGTGAGCAATTTATAGGGGAACAACTAGAAATGAAAAGTTAAAGTAACACCAAATTTTTATATTTATTATGATGACTTTAATAATGGAAAATTAGGGAAATCAGTTGTGAATAGTGGTGATCAGCAGAGGTGATTGTGTGATACTCAATTTAGACCTAATAAATTTCAAGGTAACAATAGAATGTCTAAATTGAAATGAAAATGAATTCTGCATAGAATTGACTTGAGAAATAAAGAGTGCAAGTTACAGGTTTTGAAATTATTCTGTTCCATTGATTTAAAATTATTTTACTGAGGACCTATTGGATTCTGGGAACTGTATTAGGAACTAACAATGTATGTGCCTTTGCTTTATGAAATTATGTTTGGATATATAGAATGTGTACTAACTACATCAGGAGGCCATCAAAAGCTTGGAAATAAAGTCTCGGATGGCACTAGACTGCAAGAGACCACATGAGGAGGCGCCTACCCCTGTCCTGAAGATTAAGATTTATGCAGTACTTAAGTGCATTTTGAGAAGACTTGGATCCATTGTATGTCTCTGTCAAGTGATTCAATTTAGTTCTGTCATATCAGGAAGAATTTTCAGGCACCTTTTACCTTAGATCCTAATGCAGTATCCTTCTCGCTTATCTACATGAAGGGTAGGAGACCCTGTGTCTCCCAGTGTATATGCACATTTCTTGTCCCACAAGGTAATACATCTTGAAATACTGGCTTTCTGAATATCCATTACCTACCTTAGTTACATAAGGTTGACCTATGCCTATGAGACTATCTCAAAATTATCTAGATTTTGAATCTTCCAGAGACTGAGTTAGTCTATGTGACTTATAGCCACATAAACTCCTTACTTTACAATTTAACTTGACATGATCTTGAAGAGGAGATGCCAGAGGTACATGCTTTGGAAACAACAAGAATTTTACTTGGACTTTATGGTTCTAAATTCATAAGTTGTCCTTCAACTTTTATTTTAATCTGAGCAAAGATTTTTTAAAAAGATTAATAAACCTAGAGGTATAGTTAGGCAACAAAGATATTGTTAGGTCAAAGCTGGAAATCACATTGCTTTATTCAGAATCAGAAGCTGTTCAGTACAAAACTCCTCATTCGTTCTTTGTGTTAGAGCTCTAAATTCTAAATTATTTTTCAATAGCTATATATTTTCAATAGCTATAGACATATGTATATATAGCTTTTTTCAGTTCTAATAATACTTATGAATTTATTTATTTATTTGTGTATTTATTTCTAGAATAATTTACTTGTGGTTTCCTTGATATAGTTCACCAATACTAAAAGGTAATGGTGACATATTTATAATTCACCAAATTTAACTTGCTAGATTGTTGATACCTGAAGAAATTTCATAATTCGTAACAATTATTATTAACTATTTTCCAAAGAATCAAATTTCATAGTATCATAATAGTTATTATTAACTCTTTTCTAAAGAGTCAAATACAAATATCTCAGAGTTATTGATTTGGGGTCATGGAACTGAGAGTGATTATTTCAAGAAAATTTATTCATAATACAATATGTAACTGCATCAAGCTACTTGCTCTAGGAAAACATGAGTAAATTGATTTGCAAGTAAAACAGTGCATAGAATTAATATTAGTGCCATTTTTATACTTTTAATATTCCAGTGTTGTTTTAGATACCACTCTTGAATGCTAAAATACACTCTTGAATGTATAAAATAAATTAATGGTAAAGATGAATTATAATAATTGAATAAATGTGTGACTGTTACTTCATTGTTTAAGGTAAGTTAATTTTTAATTTCTAGAAAGAGCATATATACTTATAGGACGAAATTTCTTGCATGAATTAAAATACATAAAATAAGGACTTCATACAAGAATGCTATTCTTTTATTTTAAATATGTATTTAAATGTATTTTAAATATGTTGCATTTTAAATATGTTTTTTGGGCATATGTATTCATGTTTTCACCTTTTAATGTGGATACTTGGGAATACATTGTTTGAATTCACAAAATTGAAATTGTAATTGTTATTCAGCCTTTATGAATCAGATTTATATGGAAGCACTGACTACGTAGAATTATAAGACTCAAAATCCTTGAAATCTCAGGCACTTTGTTGCTTCCAGTTGGTTAGTTTGTTTCTGATAGGACTTTTTATAGAGTTCAGGATCGATTTTCATATCATGAAACTTTTAGTAAATATTCATAAATATACAGTACAAAAGCGGAACTGGACAAAGTGTCATAGGATAGCATTTTCGGCTTTGGGAAGTTGAGGCAAGATGATTGCATGCTTGAGATCAGCTTGAACAACTTAAAATTTTAAAAGAGAGTTTTGATATAGCTCAGTGATAAAGCATTTATGTAGCATGCATAAGATCCTAGGTTCTGTCCCTAGTAATATAGGGGAGGTGGAGAGGAAGAGAGAGAGACAGAGAGAGAGACAGAGAGACAGAGAGAGAGAGAGAGAGAGAGAGAGAGAGAGAGAGAGAGAGAGAGAGAGAGAAGAATAGAGAGAAAACAAAGAGAAAAACAGAGAAAGCAGATATACAGAGAAAACATAGAGGGAAAACAGATGAGAGAGAAAGACACACACACACACACACACACACACAGAGAGAGAGAGAGAGAAAGAGAGAGAGAGAGAGAGAGAGAGAGAGAGAGAGAGAGAACAGACAGAGAAAGAACAATGGCAAACATATATCTTCATTTATATTTAACTTGTGGACATGTGCTGAGTTTATTTTGGGTTTCTAAGGAAAGGCATGGAATCAAATACAAATCAACGAGAAAATGAGTTTATTCTGTATTTTGACTATGACTTAAAATACTAAATATTTTTATATGCTCCATGCTTTGTATGACTAAAGATTTTTTTTGAGACTTTGTTTATTTGTGAGACCTACTTCTGGTCAACCATATTGTATCTCAAATAGTTTGTACTGATTTGGCTCCACCAGCTTGTCCTATGTTTTTCCCCAATACTTCGTGTTATCAAGCTTTCTATTTTTTCCAAATTTTTTGATAATGAAATAGATTTTAGTTATGGATTTAATTTTTATTTTCCTGATTAACACTGTGATTGAATCTTGTGTGAGATATGTTTGGCCACTCATTTTTCCATTTCTATAATGCATATTCATTTTTTAAGGCTAGTTTTGCAATGGTTAATTTGAGTTTTTCTTATTAATTGGCAACACATTTTTCTTTTTTTTGTAACATAGATTCTCTATGCTATATCTTCATCTATTTTAAGTATCAAAATTACCAGTTTTCAGTCTATGTTTTGCCTTTTCATTTTATGGTATTTTTTAATGATGAGAAGATTTTTCATTTTAATAAAGGCACAATTATCCATCCATTTTGTTTTCCTGGGTCATGTTTAAGAAGATCTCTACAAACTAGAGGTCATGAGATGTCCTTGCATTTTTTCCTAAACAATTTAATAGACACCTCATTATTTTTCAATATAAGTAGCTATTCATCACACTCTTCACTTTTTCTCCAAAGATTTATATGTACTCTGTTGTGAAATGTTTGTACAAATGTGAGTGTTTCTGAATTCACTGTGTTTATCTTTGTCTTAATCCTTTGCTGTTTCAATTACCACCACCTCACCATACACCTTGATTTCTACCACTTCTCTAAGTATTTGCAGTTAAATTGTTGATTTAATAAAATTTCTAGAATAGTAGTTATTTCCACTTTGTTCTTCAACAGAGCTTTGGAAATTCTTGGACATTTATAATTTGTTATAAATTTTAGAAATATCTTGTGAAGTTTGTAAAAACCCTGCTGGAAAATTAGTGTAAATATATATATATATATATATATATTTGAATTTTGATTAAAATTTTTGACATGTCTTTTGTTGTACTTAGAGCTTCAATATTTATTTTTAAATGCCTTGTAATGCTGTATCTGTAGGTTACTTATCATGTCTTTGGGAACGATCATATTTTATAAAATTCATGGCTATTTAATATTAGTGTTGATTGAATATTTTATTTCATTAAATTAACTAATTTGCTTGTTTAAGCTTATTTTGGCATGGATCTTAAAGAGAATTCTTGTAACTTTTCAGTTACTCAACACATTTTCAGATAGAGATTGTCATACCAACAAACAAAAGCAGTAAAAGTCCTGGACTTCACACAGTTGACATTTTACAAAGATAAAGAACAGAGACAAAAACTAATTAATATGATAAGTAAATAAACATATTGCCTGCTATTATAGAAAGTGTAAGTTTCATGGGGGAAAATATGCAAAGAAAGGACCTTCAAGCCTGGAGCATCTTTTAACCTAGGCAATTTTGATATAGACTGAAGATGGTATCTAGATTTAGAAAGACTATGAGAGTGATCCTAGAATTGTAAGGGAGAGGTGCTGCAGCTCTGAAGAGGGGCAGAGGGTGGTGGTCAGTGAATCAGGTCTGGGAATGTTTCAAAGTCATACTCAGAGGTTTCCGGGCAGAATGTCAGATCTGAGAGGAGTGGAGAACACCTGAGGCTGGAAGGAAGCGCCAAC